CGCTCTCGCTCTCGCTCTCGCTCTCGCTCTCGCTCTCGCTCTCGCTCGTCTCACTCTCACTCGTTTCACTCTCACTCGTCTCACTCTCACTCGTCTCACTCTCACTCTCGCTCTCACTCTGACTCTCCTCTCACTCTCACTCTCACTCGCCCATCATCACCACCATCACCACGATCTCCACCTTCATCACCACCATCGCCTGTCTGGACCCCAACGCGTCTGGATCTCTAGACTTTCAGCTGCTACACCTATCTAGACCTCACGCACACTGTTTGGGGTCTCTGGCCGGAATAATTAACGTCCAGATACTTGCAAAAAAATCCTTGGTAATGATCCGATGGGTGAACTTCAGCATTTAAGAAGGTCAAAAACGAAGCCTAAGTAAATGAGCTCAAGTTTTGTACATTCATTTTCAAGGTTGTTCGTGTAGAAGCACGTCTCCTGGAATTTTGTCCGTTACAAGAAGCTTTGTCCCGCAAGAAGGACCTCCACGAGTTGGACCGAATCTTTGAGGACTAGGCGTACCCGCGCGACGGGGCGGCCTTCACCGTTGGCTTCCCAAAATGGACCTAAAGTGATACAACCAAGCTCTGTTTTGGGGAAAACATGTAAAGAGGCACGTTCCAACGTGTCTGATCAATCTGAAGTCTGAAGCTGGTAGGTCAAGCGTGAGAAGCGTAATAACCTTGAGGCCGGACGCTCATATGTGTGGGTTCAGAGGAGATGGTTGAGAGACCTGCTGGTTTGGAGGTCATTGCTCTTGAGCTTGTTTTTGATTGTGGGCGTTTAGGGGAGCAGCTTCTGGCGATTGCCTCTGACGCTTTTCCTTTGTCAAAATGGAAAGCATCCGCCAGTATGCAGCAACTGAGTGCAGGCATGGAAGGCAGCTGTTTTTGTTTTGTTCTAAAAATTGTTTTTGTTATGTTCGTTGTTTTAGTTATATTTCTAATTTTTTTGAGGTGTTCTGTGTTCTGAGGTTTCTGTGACTTCCGGGTGGGCTTTTCATAGTCACAGTCAAAGTTGCCAATCGTATTGGGTTGGTTGTTTTTTATGCTCAGAGTTTTTATTTGTATGCTCGCAACGGGGTTGGTGTGGCTTTGGGGTAAGGGTTTCTTATTTTATGCTTACAGTGACTGTTTTTATGCTTGCGGTTTCTTTTCTTATGCATACAGTTCTTTATTTATTCACACGGTTTCTTTTTGTATGCTAATGGTTCCTTTTCTATGCAAAGGGTTTCCTTTTTATGCGGTACTGTGGGGAGAGGGTAATAGACTGTAATTGTTGGGGGGTTGGCTGCTGGGGCTGCTAGCTGCTGGCTGGCTGCTGGTGCTGCTGGCTGGTTGTTGCTGCTGGTTGCTGCTGCTGGCTGCTGCTGCTGCTGCTGCTGCAACTGAGTGCAGGCACGGAAGGCGGCCTGTTTTTTGTTTTTGTTCATGTTTGTTTTTGTTATGTTATGTTCGTTGTTTTTGTTATATTTCTCATTTTTTTGAGTTGTTCTGTTTTCTGAGGTTTCTGTGACTTCTGGGCTTTTCATAGTCATAGTCAATGCTGCCAATCGTATTAGTGATGCGAAGGATGCCCAGGCCACGATGAGTACCATACCACAACAGAGTTCGAGAATGGCAAGAATGGTCAGAAAGACACCACTTTTCATTATGTTTCAAACTGTGCTTATTCACTTATTGGTGTTGTTGGTCCGCTTGGAGTTTTGCGGTGCGGCATGTCTGATTTCAATGAGATATTTCAGTGGGACCAGGGACCAGCAAGCATGCAAGCCACCAGCCAGGGCCTCCGCCACCAGTCCTTCAGCCATGCCTTCTACTAAGACCCCGACCTGATGACACTTTTTTTGCCGTGTGCTCCTCCTGCTGAGGGGCAGGCAGGAGCAATTTGTAAATAGAGTGTTTAGGATGGGGTTGAGACCCCCACCCCTCAAGCGAAGGGGTCCCTCGTAGTTATAGATTTTGTTACATATATATATATATATATACGTATATTGAGGACAATATAGTATAGATGATACCCAAGCCCTGTTCATGGCTTTTTTGAGCCAGGACAGTGGGTGTCAGGATGATCGATCGACCCACAAAGCAGCCGAATCACTGCGAGCTGCACGTTTTAAGAGCCACCAAGCAGCGCGTGGAAATCATATCGATCTTGGACTTCTAGCTGATGGAAGTTGGTGTCCGATTTCATCTGGCCACCAGGCGCAGCTGCGAGGCATCTCTGCTGTGGCCATTGCAGGTGGCAGTTTTTCGGGGGATGGGGGATTGGTGCTTGGAAGGTGGGGAAGCCTATAGGGCAGTGGCAGCTTTACAGCATAGGAAAGAAAAAACATGAAAAAAACTATCTTCGGATACTGTTTCTGACTCACTGCTATGTAAGTCAGAGCCTTTTGTTTGCCTTTTGTTTATTCGGGATCGGCTTCCCCAACCGACAGTCCTACAGATGTCCTACGTACAGGTGACGGATTTCAATTTAATGAATACATTGGTCACATGACTATATGGGCACAATGTCCCTCAGACCCTATGGACGACAGCAGCACAGGTCGCCGAAACAAAATGGAATTCCTGGTGCTTTTCCAAAAAGCCGTGAGAGTGGGGTTGCCCGAAACTAATGGGTTCGACATCCTGCACCCCCGCCACCTCAGCTGCACAACGCACATTTTTTGACTTCAGGTGTGAGTTGTGCATCAGGTGTGAATTCTGTGGTAACCTTCATTTTTCGGACGCCACAACCATTGGGACACTCTTAACTTCAATCATGCGCTCAAAAAAAAAATCCCACGCGATTAGCCATGCATACATCGTGATCCATCGCCGTCCCATAAACTGAACGTGTGCCGGGTAGAGGACGATGCCGGCATGAAACAGGAAGAACCCTTGGAACAATGGGCAAACAAATCCCATGTCGTGTCATTGTCGTTCACACGTCCCTGAGGACGTTTTAGGCAATATATATATATATATTATATATGTATATATATATAAGACCACTAAATAGATAGAACCACAAAATCCCCACCAATAATGTATTAGAAACCGTCTCTATCTATTTGAGACCCCTATATGCAATCTACAAACCCGCTGTTAAACCACATGCTATGTACACGGTGTCGCATCCCAACTGAGCCTTTAGGAACCCAAATAGGGCCTTAAAAACACAAACCCTTGCATGACATGATGGCATGTCACTATCTTAGAGGAGAGACAGAGAGAGAGAGAGAGAGAGAGAGACAGAGAGAGAGAGAGAGAGAGACAGACAGATAGAGATGAACCCAAGACCTACCCCAAATGACCCCAAGCGGAGCCGAGACTCAACCCCACCAAGCCAAGGTCATTGCTTCAGTAGACGGCCCCCCTCAAGACCCACCCCAACTGAACCCATCTAAGGCCTACCAAAATTTGTGATCTTGCTTGAATTGACTGTTACATGTTTGTCTTGTCTCTAATCCGTTTTTGCAGCCATCGGCATGGTATACATGTTAAATCAGGCTCTTCTTCACCACCACTCGCCTCTCCGGAAATCCAATCGCGGGACCGACTCGTCCCATCTCCAGATCTGTTTAGTTCGCCTCAGAATACCGCCGAAGACGTTCCAGAGAAAGGGCAGGGTCCCAAGCCACCGGTGTTTTATGTGGTAAAATCAGAATCGAAACCGCGTGGGGGGGGTCGTCTGAGACCCTGCTGAGACAGAACTGTTGTCATAGTAATGCCGCAAAAATGCCATGTTCCCATATTTCCATGGTCTTTTGTTTCTTGCCGAAACCAACACCACATGGACATCTTCCCACCGCAGCTTCCCTCCGCTCGCCAGCTTCGGGGCGCTTCGCAGTGATGATGGCCCTGGACGACAAGCGGAGTTCGGTGCACCCGGTCTGACGGGCGACCAGTGCCCGGTGGTGCGCGGTGGAGTGGATCATATTTTGTGTGAAGGGGCCCTTTTTTGAACGCATAGCTGGCATAGCTGCCAGATGTAGCCAACAAAGGTGCGGTCAGCAAGAATCACAAAACTATCCCTAAACCGGCTACTTTTCTCGGGGCAGGACAAAGGGGGGACCCCTGTTTGGATTTTGGGAACAACCCAGTTCCTCAAACCTTTGACGTGTGCAAAGTGGACCAGGTTTCTTGGCACATCGTCCCTTGCAGTTGGCACCAGGTGTTTTGGGGCCTCTCAGAGAGGCTTCCTGCCTTCCAATGTCGGCTGAGGCATTATCCTCTTCAAGCTCCCAGCTTGCTGTGTGCCTGGGCGACAAATCGCCCTGTGCCTGGGCCGTTTGGTTGAGGTTTTCCTCCCCGCTTGAGTGACATGACTTGCATGGTTTGTCCCACATTTGGGAAGTTGGTCTAGTTGTTGGAAGAGAACCTACTCACCGGTTTCGATTGGTCAAAAAGTCCCTTGCAAAGCCTTGTTACATAAGGGTCAGGGTAGCCAGAGTGCACAATCTAGTTCTTATATAAGATATGTTTCCCATTTGCATGCGATCGGATGTGTATGCTCTCGGCCGAGCAGTCCACGTGAGAAGAGTGCACGAGCCCGGCAACACGACAATTGTGGGTCACAGGTTTTGCATTTTCGATCATTCCACATGGGTCTCAAAGACACCAAACACAAAAAGGACTTTCCAAGGCCCAAAGGATCTTCAAGATCCATGTGTAAAAAGACTCTTTGCGTGGATCTCAAATACAAAAACAACAAGTCCGTGGCGATCGCCACTCTCGACGTGCCAAGGCCAAGCCTGTGACTTCGGAGGTGTCCCAGACCTATGTCATACGGGTGCCCACCATGGTGGTGGCCAGCGGAGGAAACATTTGCGAGCCTTGCCGGAAGTGGCAGAAGCGGCGGTGTGGTGTGTGTGGTGGGTGGTGTCTTAGCGAGTTAACGCTGGGGGTTTGGAGAACACTCACACATATCTCACACCCTGAACATGGTGATTGTTTGAAAACACAACTCTTTTTCGGTCAATTTTTGGTCACTGGTAGCACAACTCTTTTTTGTTCTTTGTCGCTCACTGCCCTGGGCCCTGGCCGCCCTGGCCCTAACCAACCTGCACTGCGACCTGCACTGCACTGAGAAACACATAGAAACACCACCATCTCCACCTCTGTGGGCGGCCCTCCACTGAAACCGCTATAGCCCTGTCGCTCGCTCAGGAGCTGGCGACCACGAATCCCTTCGACTCCGAGCGGCGCTTCCGCTTTGCCACGCTGAACAAGACCGCGGTGAAGCTCTACGAGTGCCGCGAGCTTCGTGTCGGACGGTGTCGGTTTGGCTTCGTGCCGTGCCGTGGCGCGTTCCAGTGTTGGGACCAAGGAGGTAGAGAATCAACGTGGGGATTGATGGGCAGTTGGGGGGATTTGGTGATATCTAAAATCAACAGTCTTTCTGATGGTCTCCAGAGAATCAATAAAGGATTGTCGGTCGTTGCTGAGAGGAGACTGAGTTCGTCATGTTTGGCAGTTGATCAACTGGATAGGCTGGCACTTCCGAAAACCGAAGGCTGGGAAGAACGGGGTTGCGCATTGACCACTCCCAAGGGGGTGGGTATGGCCAGAAGCACCGTTCAATTGAAGGGTGACTTCTCTTGACAAGACATGCTTGAAACTTTGACATTGGAAGATGAACCATCGTCGATATTACTACTTACTAGCGTAGGCTTCCCGCTGCTTCCCAGCTAATTTGATCATATTTGATCTCCTGTGTGAGAAATTTAGACCGCACCAGCCACCCAACCTTGCGAGATTTCACCCGAGCACATCGGCATGGAACAAAGGGGCTCTATTTGGAAAACACTGTACTCTGTTCGATTCTTTGATTGTAAATTGTTGGCTACTTGAGATGTTCATGAAGATGGGCTCAATCCACTTTGGATGCGGGTCTTGGGCATTTGACGGTGTTTTGCTCAATGGACGTGTCAATGGACCTCTAACACCCGACTGTTTCCACCATAGGAGGATCGAGGTCGACCGAGGTAAGACTTTCATGAGCACTTACTGACCGATGAAACCTGAGGACTTGTACATTGACTGAAATGTGGACCATTTGCAACTGTATGATATATATATAGAATGCTGGGTTAGCTATACATTTCATGGTCTAATAAACATATTGAAACATCTTTGACATGTATTTTCTTTATCTTCAATATAGGGACTTGCATGCGATGGTCTCCTGTCCTTCTCAACGACGGTCTCCCGTCAAACGGATTTTGACCAACCTCTTTTGCTTGGAGGTACCGGGAAGCCAGCAATGAACTGGTGCACGGTGCCGTGATCTTTGGGAAGATGCTCGGTGAGGATTAAAGGAATGAACCCATCATACTCCTGAGGAAAATCTTCGCGGGGTGTCTTACGGGATTAGGGTTGAGAGATGCCAACAAGGAAGGAGATTGCACTATAGATGGTTCGCGGTGGTTCGCAGAATCAACCTGAAACCACGTATGGTTTGCACAGGAGTTCCTACATGGCACAGCTCACTATGAACCTGTGGCAGGTTGGATGCAAAGCTTTGCAAGAGGAAGCAAAGCCAGACCTGGGATCGATTCAGTAGTGCGCTAGATCCAGCTGCATTTGCTGTACCTGTGGTACTTTTGCCTCCGGATGGACTGCACCACCAAGAGTAACAGTCTCGTGCTCATTTGTAATCATTTGTATGCACGGAGGGAGATGGAGGGAGTATTGCTTTGAGACTCATGAAACTATGCAAAACCCAGCTTGGAGAGCTGTTCCCATAGCTCTGGCAAGTTCAGAAAAGTTTTATACAGACATGGCAAGTGCGCTTCTATATGCTTTGAGACAGACCCCTGTGTGACCCATGTGACGCGTTGTTTTAAATCAGTTACCTGGGCGGATCCCCACCCGCACACCCACGAGAGAAGCGATCAGCAGGCCCGTTGCGTCAGCACCGGCGTCTTACCGTCCGCTCGTTTCGACCACGGACTCGTCAGGGCTCCCCAACAGCACTTGAATCATGTGGCTTATGCCACTGAAGCTGGGCATTTGCTGATGTGTGGCAAAGAAGGGAGGCTCTATGATGTACCTTGGTGCTTTGAATTCGCTGCAGCGGGGCAGTCTGTTTGGGTGAATGTCCTCGACGATGAGTCGTGTTGGAGCAAAAGGTGGAAGCTTTCTTGTCGGGAGTGGGCTTATAAAAGGTTGACAGGTATTTGGATAGAACAATATTATCAACAAGTCAGGGGCATGATTAATTAGTCAGTATTGTGTAGTAGTATTGGCCATTATTGGACGCTCCCCCCGAGTGGTGTTGAGACTCTTGACCATGTTCATGTTGTTCCAGAAGACCGCCAAACGAGGGGTCCTTTGCAGTCACTTGGTTCAGGAGAGTGTACTCTTGACGGACAAAATCTGGCACCACCCAAGACAGGCTGTAGATCGACAATCTGCGAGAACCAAGCGGTGCAGGATTTGTTTGCGTGCATCTACAGTATACCGTGAACATCCATTAACCATCTTAGCCACATAGAGCCTTGGGGGTGTTCATGAGACGACCGAATGAGCCTTCTATGAAAAGGTGTGGATGTAAAACCATGTGATCATGCATCGGATCAATTAACCCAAGTGTACTATGATCTTTGAAGCAAAGATCAATGCCGCCATCCGGATCAAACATCTCCGTGAAGACACTCCATGAAGCAACCCAGACACGACCCATGGGACTGGATGATATACCTACATTTACACCATTTCAACCACCCCTGTTTGTATGTAAATATGCCATACATGGGGTGTTTGGGTATTGGAAGCTACCACCTGCTGTACCCTCTCATGATGGCCTCAGTCTTGGGCCATCTTTGGCCTGAGACTGGCATCGTGGTCCCGAGGTGCATGGCTCACATGTGCACCACAGTGCTGTCCTCTCGCACCAACTGGGCTGCGCTGTGTCCTTGTGGAAAATCAAAGGCCAGCGCAAATGGCTGCGCAGCGGTTTTGAGTGGCGCAATGGTTCATGATTCCGGAAGGCCCTACCATTTGTTGACCAAAACAAGGATATGCATCCTTGTTTGGCTTGTTTGACGTGATTTGGGTTCAGTTACATAGTTGGTGTATGTTGGTGTGCGCCGAGCGTGGCAATTGAAAAGTGGACCTGTAAGAGCTGCGCGAAGGGATTTCATGTTCAGCTCTTGCACGTTGGAGACTTTGGTTCAACTTCCGGTGCGGTTTTGTCAACACGTAGTTCTGCTCCCAATGAACCAGGAAGACACTAGGCCGGACTAGGCCGTTGGGTTGATCGTCACTCTCCAACGGCCAAAAAGGAACGTCCAAAAAGGCCACCCGCAGATGGAGGAGGCTTTTCCCTACACCTAGCGCGCCGTCCCCTCCGTGAAACAGTTGGGGTGGGTGCCAGGTCTGCACCGGACCTGAGGATATGGGACAGGAGGTGTAGGGTGTATTCAAAGAGAGATCTGAGTCTGAGATACCAAAGATATGAGACAGGAGCGATCGGTTTCCTAACTCATCCGAATTGCCTTCCTTGACTCATCCAAACAAACTCCCTGGTTTTCCACATGCTGGGGAGACCCTAGACTACCTAGAAAGAGTTAAAGCTAAAGAGTTGTTGTGTTTGTGTCATATATATTTTCCAGCTTATGCAGATGCTGTTGTGTGCGTTAAGATTCCACGGCTCTTCCAAACGCGCTTTATGTCTGGAATCCTGTTTCCTGTTTCGTGGATCTCCAGGGATCTTGTCGAGAAACTACAGTTTCTCCTCCCAAGAGCTCGTGCTTCTTCGGACGTGCCTGGCAGGTCAAAGCTACGAGTTCCTGGCAGCAGCAGCTCGGAGTTCCGACGGTGGTGTTTCTCCGAGGGTCGGAAGGGGGGGGGACCGAGCTGAGAGGTTTTGAAGAAAAGACCACCTGAAAAGATGAAGAATGGCGATGGGCCTACACAAAAATCACATGAATCAACGGAACTACAAATGGTTCCATTTGTGTAGAAGCACAGAACCTCCGCATTTCGCAGGATTGCAGGATTGCAGATATTTATCTCTTGGGGCACAGGGATGCCAAACGGAACTGCTGTACCCTGTAGTGAGAGTATCCTTCAGGTGGTGTTCTGGATTCCTTTCATCAAAACAGGAACATGTCGGAACCGGGCTCCCAGGAGCCGACTAGAGGCAAGCGCCGACCTCATGAGGGATCCAGGTGAGAATGAAACATGACCCGATTGTTTGGGGGGGTCTCAGAAACTATTGCTTGCACCAGATTGCCTTGTGGAACGTCTCCATTCCATTGCCACGCGGGCGCGGGGCGTTGTGCGTTTCGTGCACTTCCTTTGGTTGAATCATGTTGAATACTTTGAGGAGCGTCACCTTCCTGGCGTTTCTTGACATCAATCTTCCGACTATCTAACACATGCTGTGCCACTTTGCAGACGGATAAAATCCTTTGTTTTTGTAAAGGTTCTCGACCTGATTTCTTCAGAACAAGTGAGAATGTATGGGGACGTTAAATGCATTGCATTAGTTCATAGATTCATTAGGAGGAATCCGCCGGGAGATTTGTTATTGTGAAAGTTGAGTTTGCTCTTCGGTGTTGGGCAGGCGGAGGAACATGGTTGTTCATGTTCGCTTGGATCAAGGCCTGAAGCCATTTCGTGCTGCGCCTTAGGTGAAAACGGCGCGCTGGCAGACGCTCTTGCTAGTGCGTCTACAGTGGCACCGGAGCCTATCTCGATCTGGGCATTGCACTCCGCCGTTGCTTGCTTTGCTTCGCCTCGCTTTGCCTCGTTTCTCCTCGTCTTCGTGGCCTTCAAGCTAAGCTTCTGGGCTGCTCTACACGACCTCGAGCCAGACGCTCTGGACTTCGTGGTCGGTGCCAACCTTTTTGAGAATAACTAGATTCTCTTGTTTGTGGACACCTTTTTCTTGAACCACTTCACTGTGCCCTTGCCGCCGAGCAGTGCCTTGTTGGAGTGACCTTTGGGGGTACATAGACCCTCCTTTTGCTTTGGGCCCTACCATCGTTGCGCAACTTCACTTTCGGTCTAAGACCACCTTTTCTTTGGAGAGCTTCAGAACTTGCGGAGCTCCTTGAACACCTTGCAGCAGCCTCACTTTTGTTTTTGGCCAATTTGGCCGTGAAGATGACTTCAGCAGAAGAATCCGGCACCAGCTCTTGGTACCGGGTGCCGACGTGGTCGGGCAACCCGGCGGAATGGCGACAGTTCCGCCGGGAGATGAACTGGTGGATGGCTTCGCTGGATGAAGAATCCTGCAAGAAGTTCAACGTTGCCGCCCGATGGGCACTTAGACAATATGGTGTGGTCAGGGCTCGGTGTGAAGAGTTCGATCCCCAGGATCTTGAAGGGACCAAGGAAGAAGCCATGACCGATCCTGACACCGGCGACAAAGTGATTCGGGTTGCTGCAGACCCTTTTGCAGGCATCAAGAAACTCATGACTGCCTTGGAGGCCACGGTTGGGAAGACAGCTTTGGATAGAAAGGGAGAACTCCGATCCCTTTACTATCAAGAAATCAAACGCAGCCCTGGAGAGAGAATCTCAGCCTTTTGCACGAGATTCCGGACCCTTGCAGCTGAGCTCAAGCGGGAAGGCATAGTGATGCCGGAGGAGGAGTTAGGCTGGATGTTGAAAGAACGTTTGGGACTGGATGCAATCAGGAAGCAGTTGCTGGAGACAGCATTGGCAGGTCGGGAGAACTATGATGTGGTCGAATCAGAATGCCTTCGTCTGTTTCGAGATTTGCACTCCTCCGACCCTTTGAACAAGAGCAGACCTTTTGACAAGGCACCACTACTCCAGCGTTTCCTACAGTCCCATGACAGACACAGCTCTTCTTCGTCCTACAGGCCTTCGACTACAGCCAGCTCGACGGCTCCCTCTTCTCGCTCCTTCCGGACTCAGAGCTCTGGTTCCAGCCGGCCACCTTTCAAGCGTTTTGGCCAGCAGACTCAACCTCGACAAGCCTTGATTGCCGAGGCCCCTGAAGAGGAAGGCCAGATGGAGGTGGAAGATGAAGAGCTGATTCCAGACGATGATGGTCAGGGTTACCCTCCTGAGAACCTGACGATCGAAGAAGTCCTCCAGACCGAAGCTGAGCTTCTTGCCCAAGAGCTGCAGGAGCTCGAGACTGAAGGTTGCGACCCTCGAGTGCTTGAAGATTTGGAGAGCGGCATGGAACAGGCCGCAGAGAGTCTGTTGACAATGCGTGAAGCACGCACCAAAATAGCTGAGGTCAAGAAAGACCGTGGATATGGAAAGCCTGGCCAACCGGCTCCTCGTTCGACGAAGCCCCATGGCAATCAAGTCCCTCGCCAAAAGAGCACTACAAAGTGCTTCGATTGTGGTGAGATGGGACACTGGGCTGGTGATGCAGGCTGCAAGGCCCCTGGTGCTGGCCTGGCTCGACCCAAAGGAAAGCCTAAGAGCCAGATGACGAAGCAGGTCCGTGTCACCGAGACCCTGAACACTGAACATGTGGCTCCTGAAGAACCTGATGACATGGGCCACGAGGTCATGACAGTGGCCGCCGGCGATTCATGGGATCGCCCATTGTTCGAAGTCCTCATGCAGCACCATACCGACCCCAAGAACACTCCACGTCTCGCGCAAGACAAAAGATTCGTTGGAGCTTTGGATAGTGCTTGCAATAGAACATGTGCAGGTTCCTCATGGTTGGCCTTCTACCTCCAAGCCCTCGAACGTGCTCCTTCCTATATCCAGAACCTCATCATCACCACCCCCGAGAATGAGTTGTTCAGGTTTGGAAATGGTGGTACCCAAAGAAGCACCGTGAGGTACAGACTCCCTATGGCCCTGGGTTCGACTTTGGTTTTGGTGTGGGTGTCAATAGTGCCAGTGCCATCGTTGGGACTCCTTTTGGGAAGAGACTTTTTGAGCGCTATCGGTGCGGTCCTTTCGTTCGGCCGCAAGCTACTGAGAGCTGACTTGGTGGGTGGCGAACTTTTGGAGTTGGGTCAGCTGGCCGCAGGCCACTTCGCCCTTCCACTCCAGCCACGCCAATGGCCTCGTCCGGACTCCCAACGCTGGCGGAAACTTGGACAAGACGGCATAGTTGAACTTCAGTTGAACAGTTTTGATTTTTTGGAAGAAACAGTTGCAATTGAAGATGAGTCATTTTGAAGTGCCTTTTGAGTCAACCTCCGAAGCACCGCATGAGCACCTTGTGACAGAGCATGCGATCCTTGCTGCGACATCGGCCGGGGCTCAAGCTATGAAGGTGGCTCAAACACGTCCTTCAGCCCCGACGACATCCTCTTCGACGACCTTTCGAGCCCTCGCAGGATCTGTGGATCGTAATGGAAGCGGCCCAGCACTTCGACCTGACCGAGAACGACTACACGAAGGTGGTGCTGCGCTGGCGGCGAATGCTTCTCCGCCTTCGCGCAAAGGCCGCTTGGCACGCACATGGCTTGCTCTTGTGGCTGTTGCCTCGTCCGCAGCTGCGGTACGCGCCCTTTCCGTACCCCAGCATCAGCCATACCAGACATTGGCAAGAACAAGCCGAATCTATGACCCTCCAGAAGCCAAAGGCATTGATGGTCAAGCACTGGCAGCGAGCTCGAACCCAAGAACCGTCAGTGTACACGACCAAGAACCTCCTGGACTTGGGACAATTCAGGAACCGTGCTGGCCTCAACTTCGCCTTCATGGAGGACAACATGTTGCAAGGAATGCTTGCGGCACGCGCCAGCAAAGGCCTGACGGCCCAATTGAAGCGGGATGCCATTCAGGAAGCCCAACTCGAAGCCGAGGCCGCTACCAAGCGTGGAGAGAAGCACGACATGGTGCGCTCCCTCATCGGCCCAAAGGGAGGCCTGCCAACGTTGAAGGCAGACCTGGTGAAACTGGCTTCACTCCTGAACATCCCCGTCCAGACTGGAATGACTGTGGAAGACCTCAAGAAAGCTTGCCGCCCCTTGGTTGCCGAGATTGCTCAAAAGCCAACTCCCTCGAAGGCAAGTGGATCTACCAGTTCAACGGAAAGACATGTCCCCGAGACTTCAATGGCGAGACCTGCTCAAGCGCCCGAGACAATTGGCGCGAAGGTCAAGGCATCTCCTGGAGTGACCGCTCAAGAGCTACAGGAAGTCCTCACCATGCAGGACCACAAGTTCCAAGGGATGCTGAACCAAGTGCTCCAGAGCATTTCGACCCTGCACCAAGCATCGCACCTGCCAGGACCTATGACTTCCGGTCCGATGGAAACCGAAGCAACCATGGACTTCGGCTGGACCCAGGACGAGATTCAACAGATGAACCGCGACTACTACCAGGACGACTTGGAGTGGCGCCAGGCCAATGGAATTCCTCCTCGCGACCAGTGAGACCGATGCTCGAGCTGGAGACGAATCCTTGGAGGATACATCAGGCGGTGAAACCTGGTCAGGCTAAAATGATTTCGGATGCTTGGGAGCGTCATGAAAGAGACCGTCGCCTTGTGTCGCTCAGTGCCAAGGAAGTGAATGAAGTCTATGAGGAGCAGTGGCATCGAGCGATGGACCACTTCCAGAACGAGATCCTTGTCACCACCCTCACCGTTGGCGATGAGAAGTCTTTTCAGTCCCATGCCATGTCTGAGAATAGGTTGATTTCAAAGAACCCCGACCTTGTTGAGAATGACCGCTTCCCCAAGACCTTTGTCACCGAGGTCTACACAAACACGGAGCGAGTTGTGCAGACGGCTCGCAAACGAGGACATCGAGTGGGGGCCTCAATGAGCTTGGAATCAGGATGGAATTTTCTCCGTCCACTGGATCGCAAAGCTGCCAGAGCAGTCCTGAAGCGTGAA